GAGAGGTGCTCGGGCTTTGTTCGTCCTCTGGAGCCGGAGGACGCGGGGTGCCGGCTGCGGGCTCTGTGTCCCCTCACACCCCCAAAGAAGCATCTCCCTTGTTCTGAATGGGCTCCAGCTTGCTCCTTAGAGTGGGGCCTTTACTTGTTAGGGTCGTGATTGACTCCCCCGACAAAAAGCTTAATCTGGGATCCCCAGTCCTCACCACCACGAAAGTTTAGTATGGGACATTCGCCGAGGAGAGGATCGGTGTGCGCCCCATATACTCAGTGAACCCCAAAGATGAGAAGTCCTGCTGGGCTCTGGAACCGGGCACGCCAGAGGGGTGCTAGTCAGCAGCCCCAGCGCGCCCCCTCCCAGGAGCTGGGCACTGCTTAGCCGGGCAAAAGGATGTGTTTCTACATGCACTTGATGAGTGAGGAAACTGGGGCACAGAGGTCGAGGGCTGAGTCCTGGATCGCTCGGGCCAGTTTCTGCACCACGGCCCAGGCTCTCTCTGATGTTCTTGCCGCCACTGAGAGTTGTCGCATGCAGATGCTCGGAACTGCCGTCCCCTGGGCAGGGGGAGCCCCGCCTTGGGGGGCCAGCCTGAAGTGTGTGCCTGCAGGGGTCAGGCCAGGGCCGGGGAGTGGGCTGCAGCCTTGAGATGATGGGGCCCAGGGGCTGTTTTCCTTTGACAAACCTAGTTTTCTGCGACCCCAGCCAGGGTGGCTCAGGAGGAACTGAGAGGAGTGTCCCTGGCGCTGCCTCTTCTCCATTCTGAGTTCCCAAAAGCAAGACTGTTCCAGCTACAAGTGGTGATGTCAGGAAGTAACAGGGTCTCTCCCCCCCCTCCACCCACGCTGAGTAGACTCCGAGGGTGCCAAGGGGCACCAGGATCCCCACTGGGACGACCTGCAGCCGGTGGTCTGATGGAAATGGCGCTCCCTCAGTCTAACTGGGAGATTCCTGGGTGGGGTAGAGGTGGGGGTGGGTGAGGATCATTCAGCACAGTTCCTGGCATGGACATGTTTACTTGGCTCCTTGTCGTTTAAATTCTGGAGTTAATATGCATACGTGTGCACATGCCCCATCCCTCACCTCCAGCTGGACCAAAGGCAGAGCTTATTTGACCCAGTTGGTTAGGTCGGCACCCCAGCCCTAGCCCTGGTGCATCCGGGAGACTGAGGGCTCAACAAACGAAGCGTTTTATGAAAGAGCCCCATGGCGAGGGCAAATGCCCCAGCTGCTGGGTCTGTTGGCATCTGCTGAGTTTGGTCCAGGGTCAAGGCATCTCTGGCTGCCCCATTGCTCTCCCATAGGTGTAGCTGGGCACTGCTCCTGGTCCTGGGGCGACCACCCAGCCCAGGCTCCTGGCCTCTACCTCTTAAGTAGATCTGGGGGTCCTGTGTGTTGCCTCAGCTGACAGCAGTCCCTGGCTTGTTTTAGAAAGAACTTTGTGAGTGTGGCTAACCTTGCCACTGTCCAGAGCTGCTGGCAGGAGGTGGGTTGTGAGAGTAGCTGCCAGCTGTTTGAAACCTGCTGCCTTCTCGGAGTGCGGCGCTGCAGGTGGGGGGCTTTCGGAGAACCGACCCTAGACCCTGTGCTGCTGTGGGGCTTTCATAAAGCCCTGGGCGTCTGTCCTGTGTGCTCCTGTGTTCACCGGTACTGGTGTCGGATGAGCGTTTTATGATTCTGGGGTGATTCAGCCCAAGTCCCCATGAACTTCCAGCCTCCTAGATAACAGCCAGCAGCTCTGGCCGAGTTCTGGAAATGAGTGTCTTGGGTGGTCCGGGTCTTGTGCGCTTTCCAGCGTGGGGTTGCTACGGTTCTGTGGACCCCGAGTCCGATCTGTCCAATCTGAAAGACCAAATAAATACAGCTGTGAGCGGAGCTTGAAGTCTGTTCCAGTTGATGGCCCACGAGGGGATTGTTGCTGCCGGCATCTCTGAGCCCCCCACCCCCCCAGCCGAGTCTTCTAAGTGGATGCATGTTAAAAGGTTGACTCTCGGCCTCATAAACATGCTCCTTTCTCTTGGGCAATAACCCAGAATCGCTTTGGGCCAGAAACCCCACTTTGTTGACTGAGGAAGGCGGTACAGACTCCTGCCGAGGCCGTGCACTCGTGCACTGGCCCAGGTATGTGGCCCGGCTGTTGGGAAGCAGCAAGGTGAAGTGACGTTAGCGTGTCACTCCCCGGCGACCGTACGCAGCTTTCCCGCAGGGCAGAAAAGACCCTGGCCACATTGCAGACACTGAGCCATCCAGAAACAGTCTCCCTCCGTCAGTGGGGGCTGGACTCAAGCCCCAGAGGGCCCCAGGGCCTTCTAGTTCTCGGTCCTGCCAGCCCTCCCCAGTGCTCTGGCTGGACCCCCCCCCCCACACCCCCACCGTTCTTCCTCCCAGTGGGCCTGTTCCCTGACAAAGGGATGTGGGCTGCGGTTTCAGGGGCATCTGGAATTCTTTTCCTTGTTCTAGTTTTTTATTTCTTATGAGGGGAAGGGGAGAGTTATGGGGGACTTGGAAGAGGCCTACGCAGCAGTGTGTAGAGGTGCAGTCACCCCCATCTGACTAACATGAGGCGCTAAGGCCTCTTTGTGCTGTTCATGAGCCTCAGACCACTGGCTGAAGAGGACTCGATGGGTGAGATTTTCTGTCAGCGCCTTGTATGGGGAGGCTGGGTTGGGGTGGGGATGCCTTGCTGGCCTGATGGGCCAGGTAGCCGCATGCCCTTGGTTACTCCCTCAAGTGCCGGCTGGCATCTCCCATCACAAGAAAGCCCGCCCCTCCTGCCCAGGGCATTGCCAGGGCCCACTGCCAGCAGCACTGGGGAGAAGGTGCTGTTGAGTGTGTGTCTGCCATGCACGCTGCTCGCAGGGCCCCAAGCCCTGTGTCTGCGGGGGGTGGGGAGGCGGCAGTGCCAGGCTGGCCTCGGCAGCCGTCACCCCAGTAGCTGTCCCTGATCTGGGCCTGGCAGCTCCCCCTGTGGTGCCTTAGCAGCTCCCTCCCCAGTGGGTTGTCAGTGCCATGGGCGAACCGGAGTGCTCCTCCCCGCCACCTAGATGGACCCACTGGCTGCTGCTCCTCTTTCCCAGTGAACCTGTAGAACGTTCTAGCCCAGGCCGCCAGTTAAACAAAGAAGGGAAGATAACGGGACAGTAGGCTCCGGTTCAAGTAACCTGAGTCTGCCGTCTGGAGGCCTGGACACCCTCCCAGCGAGGCCGTCCTCTAAATAATTTAAATGTGGTGAGGTGGATCCCCCTCCTGGCTGTCGCTTCCCTTGGCCTGCAGCCTGTGGTGTGTCTGCACGGGCTGTCTTCCTCTGGCCACGGCACCTTGGGGCAGGGGCCTGTGCTTTGGGGGCCCCCAGGGTGTGGATGGGGTCATTTGCAAAGTTCCCTTAGAAGTGGGATCTGGGCCCTCCCGGGTGGCGCAGCAGGTTGGAGCACTGCACTGGAAGCTAAGCCAAGCCGTGGCCGCTTCAGTGCGAGTTCTACCCCCGCCCCGAGCTGACCCACAGGGCGCGGCAGACCTTTCCTCACCTGCCCGCTGCTCCCCCAGCCTGTTCTGCTCCCCACTCTGTCTCAGTCTTTCATGGCCCCTGCACCTCTGGCCTATGCCCACTTCTGTATGCATACATAAAATCTTTAAAAAAAAAATGGAACCTGTTTTAGGGACCTTCCACCAGGCCAGAGGCTAGAAGGACTAGCTGGGATGGGGGTGGGGAGGCGTACTTCAGCCTCCCAGGAACAATTCAGGTCACAGAAGGAAACCTCTGTGCCTTAAATGTGCTGAGTTTGTAATGAAAAGGACCCAGGCAGAAGGGGACGTGGCTGAGCTCAGGATTCAGAACTGCACTCTGAAGGGGCCCACGCGGGCGTTTGGGAAACCGTGCTGAGGACACAGCAGTGATGCAGGTGTGGCAGTGGTCACTGTAGGGGGCCCTTTGCCATGGACAGTCTGAGTCTGGCCCAAATGTCGTTCAGGTCAAGACAGGTTAGGACTGAAGTGCCCTGGCTGGGACCCATCACCTCTCCCTTGAGACCTGGCTCTTGGGCCAGCGGCGGGCTCAGGCCACCCAAGCCCTCTCCCGGACCTACCTCCCATCGAGGGAGAGGTGTTTCCCTCCTGGTTCCCCATGGCCGTCAGGCACAGCGGGCAGCCTGGAGGGCTGAAGGGGAAAGCCGACTGGATCACTGCTGTGCAGGAATGGTGGCAGGACCCTGGAGTCGTGCCCCTGGCGTCCATGCCAGGTGGCCGGGCCTCCAGCGGATGGCTGTGGAAGGCACTTTGCAGAACGGAGGGAGGAATGTCATTTGGCGTGTGCCTTAGAGCTTTGCAAAAGATATATTTATTTTAAGATTTATTTATGCATACAGAGCTGGGGTACAGGCCAGAGGTGCAGGGGTGGTGATAGGATTCACCAGAGAGACAGTGGGGAGCAGAACAGGCAGGTGGACGAAGTACACGGCTGAGGGGAACCGTGGGCAGGTCAGGAGAGGTCTGCTGCGCCCACCTCCGGGGCAGGTGTCGAACTCATGCTGAAGTGACTTTAGCTTCTTAGTGCTCTGCTTTACCCCGCCGCGCCACCAGGGAGGGCCTGCAAAAGATATTTTAAAGAAAAATAAATGGAAGGATAAAAACAAGCCTGGGCATAAGGTGAGCTGCGGTGGGCTGGTGTGCGGGGACCCCTGCGGAGGGGGTTCCGCTGATCCCCTCTGTCTGCTGCACAGACGCCCTAACGATGAGTCTTTTCCCCCAGCTGTCCTGGGGCAGACACGGAAAGCTGGAAGCAGCGCTCCAAGCTAATTCTTTTTCCCTCTTTCTCTGTCTCTAGAAACTTGAAGGGTCTAAGTGCAAAGGGCAGCTTTTGATTTTTGGGGCAACCAACTGGGACTTGATTGGTCGAAAAGAAGTGCCTAAGCAACAAGGTATGAGAGACGCGTCCTCCACGCTGGACGTGCGGTGTGGCTCCGGCGGGGCTGGGCGGGCGTGCGCCACTCACATGCGCGCTCAGAGAGACGGGGCTTCCCCGTGGCCACACGGCCTCTCTAGTGATGCAGCTGGGTTTAAACCCTGGTCCTGTGAGGGCCCCTCCCTTCACAGTTGACCTTTTTAAAACCAAGTTCCACAAAGGTGCAACAGGATAATGTAAAAGTCACCTCAAATAAACATGGGGTACCATCTTTCCATTTTCCTTTTCACGACACTTACTTTCATTAAACCGAAAAGACACTTTGGTTCTCTGGGGTGTCCAGATGCCCTACCTGGTTGTCACACGTCCGATGGCCGCATCTCTTTGCAAGTTGCCGAATGATCCAGGTCACAGTCAGGAGTGAAGGCACTGAGAAGGCCAGATGCTTTCAGAGCGTCTGTGTCTCTCCTCCGGAGAAAACTGCCCACCCCAGAGAGTGAGGCTGGCACAGCGCCACATTTTATGGCTTCTTGATTTCCTTTGGAAAGATTCCCGAAGTCCTTCCCAGCATGGCCCAGTGAGCAAATATTTGCACACTGACACTCCCGGAGCCTGGAGACGGCAGGGACCGTCTCACTCCCACTTCGGCAGGCGTGCCGGCGGCGCTGGAAGTGGGAGCTGGACCTTCCTGTGGGGAAACACCCGGCCGTCAGGCCCGCATCGGGCTGGGGTGGAGCGGCTGGCAGGGGTGCCCATGCCTGCGGGCGTAGGGCCGGCTGGAGCCGCTCTGTCAGGCCACTCCATCCCCTGGGTGGGCGGAAGCTAGGGCACCAGCCCCGCTCACGCACAGCTGAACAAACTGCCCGACTGGCCTCATTTTAAGCCTGCTTTATGTTTGCCCGTTTCCAACTTCGCCAGTTCCCCCTCTTTGGATGAAGTGAAGTTTTACATTTATCTTTTAATGCTAAAAGTAATCGTAGCTTCAGCCCTCCATCCCCATGACCAGTAGAGTGCCCGCACCTGGTGGCTGCCTGCCCTCCCCAAGGCCCCTCGCCTGCCAAGCACCCCACTTTGCCCGCTGCGGCCTAGGAAGGTGCAGAGGCCCCACTCTGACGGGGCCCAGCCTGGTGCCGAGGGTGCCAGCGTGCACAGAGCTGCCCGGGAAAGGGCCTGCTCACGGATGCTGTCCTCACTGTGCTCTGTCATGATTGCCTTCATGGTAAACAGACCCTAAAGTGACCTGTGAAGATGTTTCAGTTTGCTGTTCCCCCAGGAAGTGGCTGATTTTCCTTCCACCTCTTGGTGGTGAGGAGTGTCACCAAGGTGACGCTTGGGTGTTACTGTGTGACCTTACGACGTGTGGTCCTGATGCTTCATGGGGGCGGGGGTATCCCATTCTTCCCTTGTGTACTTAAAGGATAAGACCTGCCGCCCACAGAGGGCGTCCCCAGGTGGGGATGGACCTTGAACAGTTTCCCACGGAGCCAGCAGCTGGGAGTCAGCAGTCAGCTCCTGTGTCCAGATCAACCGAGCACCATTGGTTGGGATGCAGCCAGCAGCTCATAGTAGGCCCCGTGGGCTGAGAGGCTGCTCTGTCCTCGAAAATCTTAAGTGAGAAATTTGCCATGCCCAGTCCACCAGTAGGGTGACACGGGACCTTAAAGGAGGCAGCTGTAGCTTCCCTCCCACACTCCTTGTCAACACCCGTGGTGCTAACTGTGCTGGACATTTTGCAGCCCTGGGCTAGAGATGTAGGGAAGGCCCAGCTCTGACCCTGGGGCTCCGAGGGTTTCCCTGGGTGCAATGGCCAGGGAGAACGCAGGCAAAGAGGACTTCCAGAGGAGAGGGCCCAGGACCTGAGATCGAAGAATAAGCAGGGGCCAGGAAAGGGTATTCTGGGGAAGCAAATAGATGGACAAATGCAAGGGGCCGTGACCTGGGCAACACCCTGAGGCCCTGAGAAAGAGGAAACAGAGTGGCTGGAAATGGGGCAGAGTGGTGTCCAGGAGGGAAATGGCTCTGGAGGATGGTGAGGAGACCTCAGAGAATGGGGTGCAGAGAGAGGAGGCGCAGGGGCAGCTACTGGGTCTTTTGCCAGCATTCCGGCTGGACGCTTCCTGTGTTTGGCCCCTTGCCCTCAGGCAAGCTCTGCACCCGTGGGTCTGAGGTCCTCCTGGGCCGGGGCCAGAGATGGAGGTGGAACCACATCGGTGTCCAGATGGTCACTGACTAGTTCTATGCCAGCGTGGGGGGCAGTTTCTGAGCTGTGATTTTTTTTCCGGCAGCCTCCTGGTAACGGGACGAGGCAACCCCAGGACGGCATCACAGTGTAGAGGTCCCTTTGTGGTAGTGAGAATTTTAGGGGTGTGCCTCACCTGCATTGATGGTCCGTGGGTGTTTGACTTGCATTCTTATTCTCTTTGCAGCTGCTTACCGCAATCTCGGTCAGAATCTGTGGGGGCCTCACAGGTATGGGTGCCTGTCAGGGGTCCGGGTGCGGACGGTGGTTTCGGGTTCATGTGCTGCCCACAGCCTCCTCATCACCACAGAAGGGAAGCTGTGGAGCTGGGGTAAGTACTGTGCTGTGGCCGAGACCAGTGCCGCTGGAGCTGGTCCCCCGGGTAGACTTCTCTTTGCAGGGGGGAGGCTGCACCCCTGGGAGGCAGTGCTCCCTGATTTGCAGCCCGTGTTTTCTTCCCAGTGTCTGGCTCACCTCATCTGTACCTCGCATCTAAACCACCTTACCCCGGCCCTGCCTTTCCTGTCTGTGTGTGGCTCCCTGACACTGGATTCCTCTTGCAGGACAGTAACCTCATCTGGCCGTTCTGGCGGAACCTGGACCTGATATCCAGGTGCCGGGAACTGAATCCTGTTTCAGGTGTAGGCGTGCTGTGCCCCGGCAGAGTCCCCTCCATTCTTGGCACCCCGGTGCCATGTAAGGCCTCTGTTCTGGCCACCTCGATGCCACGCCGCATGGTGACGTCAGCTCGTGTGCCTGCAGCCCGCTTCCTGGGCATCGCACACTCTGGTTTTGTGGCTCGTTGCCTGCTGTGTCCGTTTCTTACTGTTTCCCGGAGTTGAGTTTACTTTTTCCGAGTTGATTGGCTTTTCTCTTGTGCTGGGTTTCTGGCTTGGGGACGTGGGAGAGCCCTGTCTTTGCCTTTGCCGTCCCCTGCAGAGGACTTCCGGACACAGCCTCCCAGCCCAGTTCCCAGTCACCGACACCGACGTTGACGGAGACTCCGTTTATCCCCAAGCCCTTCTGGTGGCTCCTGGACACTCCTCCAGCTGGGCGGTTGGCATGTGTGCCCGCCCTTTGTTCTGGTCCTTGGCGGCTCTTTGTCCATATGACGGCGTTTTTATTTCAGTCTGTTTGAACCATTTTTTGCAGTTTCACGAGCTGCTCTACCAAAGTCCAAATATATTAACATCTGTTGTCTTCTCTGCACTCTGCTAATTTTGTAATTCCGTTGGAAAAAGCTAACAACTGTGTCTGGCCCAAATTTATACTTTATAGTCTCTTGATGACATGCTGACATCGCCATGAATTTCATTTTCCACGGCTGGCATAGAGGTGTGCCCCTCCCCCAAACACCCCTCCTGCTAATGTTCCGACGCTGAACAGGCGCTCTGTGTCAGCTTCGGGCTTCAGAGATCTTACTTCTGATCTCTTCACTGGGTTTCACTTACGTGGTACTTCTAAAAATGTCCCACGGGCAGGGAGTGACTGAAGCCTGTGTGTCTGACCTGGCCCCGTGGCAGAGATGAACCCCCATGAACTGATTTGGAACTGCGGGGTGCTGTGCCGGCGGGCATGTCACGAGGCCGCTCTGGGCCACTCTGAAAGACGGGGCATTGTCCTGTCTGTAGCAGGAGTGTGTGGAGGGGCCTGCACCTCCAGCCGGTCAGGCCTCGAGTGCACTGAGCTGCCACTCAGCACTGTCCGGCGTTTGGAGTGCTGTCCCCAGGGTCGGGGCAGCTCCTGTTAACAGGAAGCCCGTGCCTGCCACCTGCCAGTGTCGTGCCATGGCCACCTCCAAGGAGCAGCGCTTCCCTTCCGAGGGCCGTCCACCCTTGCCTTCTTGAGGCCTCTCCCAGGGGCCTAGTGCTTGTCCTGGCCCCAAAAGGGGAAGGCTTCTGGTTGGGAAGGGGATGACATGCCCCCAGGAGTTGCCGGGACACTTTGGCCCCATGAAATTGCCCCAAGCCTGCAAATGTCAGATTGCAGGTGAGGCGCTTCTCCGCGAGAAGCACCTGTGAGAGGCCAGTGAATTGCTCTGTGGGGACCTCGTGTAGCCCATGGTGAAAACTAGGCGTGGTTTCGGGGAGCACAGCCTCCCCCGTCCTAGCCAACTCTCCACGTCTGCTCTGGCGCTGGAGAGCTTTGCCAGGGCACCCTGCCTTGCGCTCACTGGGTGGGAGGCTCGGTGTCCCTGAGGCGGGTGGCGCTGCTGTTCAGTGCAGCGCGGTGGGCAGAGAAAGGGGATGATGACGGCAGGCACCAAACGGCCCACGGTAGACGCCTGGAGCGCTGAGGTAATTAAACTCATGTGAGGCAGGTGTCGAAAATGGTTACTGTCTTAAAATACCTCAGAGCACAGGGAATGAGGGAATCGTCTGGCAGGTGCTGAGAAGTGAGAGTGAGCAGAGAGTTTGCACCTGTGTGACGTCCGGCTCGCAGCGTCCCTCTGGTGGCAGAGGCTGCAGGAAGTGCTGCTGGTCCAGAAAAGAGGCTCAGGGCAAGTGACTTGGGCAGTGCTGTGCAGAGGGCTTGGGCCCAGCCCCTCGCCCTGGTCACCCAGCGCAGCGGGCAGGCCTCCAGGGGCTGGCGGGAACTAGGAAGGCGAGAGCTGTCGCCCCGGGGACACCAGCTGCAGACCCAGACCTGCCCCAGGTGAGGGGTCCTGCTGCCCTGAAGCGGCTCTGGTCTCCTCTCCATCCCACTTTATCTTGCTCTGATTTGCAGGTCGAAATGAGAAGGGGCAGCTGGGTCACGGTGACACCAAGAGAGTGGAAGCCCCAAAGCCCGTCGAGGGTCTCAGCCATGAGGTGATTGTGTCTGCGGCCTGTGGGCGGAACCACACGCTGGCTTTGACGGGTAAGGAGTGGCTGGTGTTGCCACACTTGGCGGCAGAGCGGGGTGGGCGGGCTGGCTGGCTGGCCCCTGTGACGGGGTCACCTGGAGAGAGCCCCGTGGGTGCTGCCCAGGAGCTCACGCTGGCCGGGGAGCTGGGTGTGTGCCGGGAGTCGTTTGCTCCCAGTTTTCCACGGCCCCTCTTCCTGACAGAAGCCATTTTTGTTCTGATTGATGCCTTCAATTCCTGATCGTAGCAACTGTCTTCTTCCAGAAACGGGCTCTGTGTTTGCATTTGGAGAGAACAAGATGGGACAGCTAGGCCTCGGCAACCAGACAGACGCCGTTCCGAGCCCTGCACAGGTACCCGAGGCCCCGGCCGGCGGGAGCCTCGTCATTTGCTTTCCTGTTGCACTCTCTGGGCCTAGGTCCTGCATTTTTTCCTCACTGTTTTGAACTAGTTAGCCCTTGTGGAAAGGCCTTGATGCCGTCAGTGGAGCAAGTTGTATATGTTGTCGCAGTTAAAGAGAAAGTTTTCGTTCTGGCTGAAGTAATTTGTTGAGGCCTTGTTTTAAATCTTTTCTATCCCAAAGGAAGTGAGAAGTGTTAGGGATATGATTTGTCTTTGCAGATTTCTTCAAGTGTTGACTCTGTACTAGAGTCACCTGCCAGGTGTGGTGTTAGGTAGACCCTTCCTTACCTTCTGAGAAGGGCGCTGGCGCTTGCAGCTAACCCAGGAAGCACAGATGGAGGGGGGCAGAACACTAGCAAGTGATCAGCAGCTTAGGTACTAGGGGGGCGACGCCGGGCCCCGTGGCCCTAAAGGAGACGGAGTTGCGCGTGCCCGGCTCGAGGCCGGCCAGCCGCACACTCTGACCTGGGGTGGCGAGGGAGGAGGCCCGGTCACCGCACTGGCTGGTTTTCTAAGCCCTGAGGTTTGTTTCCAAATCTCGTGTTCAGGTAACTTGAGAAGGGCCTTACTCTCTTCCCACCAACTTCCTAATTTTGAACTGTTTTATTTCTTGTTGACACCTCCCATTAAGACCCATTAGTCAGGCGTCCCTGTAGCAGCCCTGGAGACTGTCACACAGTGTTGTCGGCTGCCGGCAGTGACACTTCCAAAACTTTCCTTCCGCAGATGGGACTGACACCAGCATTAGTGATTAAAGAGAGATTTGGGGGCTCATTGTCCAGTCCCCCCCCCCCCCGGGCCCACGCTCTTCAGCTGGTCAGCGTCTGCTGGGCCTGCGAGCACAGTGCGGGCAGTGACGGTTAGTGAGGAAGGCCGCCGCCCGAGGACACAGTTTGTCTGTCCTTGAACTCGGCCCTGTACTGGAAGGCTGGGGTCAAGGGGTGTTTTCTTCACTGTATTCTGAGTTTTTGCCCCCAGAATTGTTGACTCGTGAAATTTCCTTTGTAACCTAATAATTGTTTCACGCTAATCTACAGGGAGGCAGAGACTTTATCAATTTTGAAAACGTCTGAAAGTCTGCTGCTTTTTCTTCCAGATAATGTACAACGGCCAGCCAATTACCAAAATGGCCTGCGGGGCTGAATTCAGTATGATAATGGACTGCAAAGGAAACCTCTATTCCTTTGGGTGCCCTGAATATGGTCAGCTGGGTATGGAAATACACTTTTTAAAAGCTCTGTCGTCTGACTGCATGTTCAGCGCGGGAGTCAGTGCGGGCTGCGGGTGCAGGGTCCTCCAGGGGAGGTCGGGGCTGGAGGCGCCTTCCCTGCCTGGCTTTTCCTGATTTGGGAATTTACAGAAAAGGACTTAAAGTTGTTAACAAGAAATCAGCCTGCCCCCATTCGCTTTGACCTTGGAAGATTTGCCTTTATTGAAACGGAGATGGGCCGGCCAGGCCGGCTGTGGAAGCCCCCCAGGTGCCCAGGGGGCTGGTGGCTGCGGCGTCCCTTCCCTGTCACTGGCCTGTCACCGGCCTGCGCCGCTAGACACACACTGAGAGCTCACTGAGTAGAATAGGAAAAGCCCGGAGCAGCCCCAGGCCGGTGGAAAATGTCTCCAGGCCCGATTTTACCAGGTCTCCATTTTCTTTTCCCATCTGACTCGAAGTGGTTTTTTCCTCCCTGGCGCCTTCCCGCCAGCCAGCCCCTGCGGGTAGGCGGCGGGGCGTGGGCGCCCTCTGCTGGCGGCGCGGCCCGGATCCGGCCCCCGCATCTGGGCGGCGGCGCGTCATTAGCGGGGCAGATGGAGGCGTATAAATAGCACCAGGGGCATCTCGCGGCCGGCTGCAGCGACGGTGACTCGCCGCGACTAAATATACCTCCAGTCAGCGAACAAGGAAGAACAGCCCCTTACGCACATTTGGCGTTGGTTGCCAGGGAGTTGCCAGACTGGTGCAGAAACCGTTGCCATAGCCACGGGCGCGTCCCCGGGCCCACCCCCAGGCCGGAAGTGCGATCGGGGCTCCTTCCGGCCCAGGTCCCCGGGAGGCCTCCTGGGGAGCGCCGAGCTGCTGGGCGCGCATGGCGGGGGCGGCCGTGCCCCCTGCCCGCTTGAACACGTGCGGGGCCCGTCTCTCGCTTCAGCCCCATTTAAAGGCAGTTTGAGAAGCTGGCTCGCTTTTGAGCCGCTGTTCTTGCCAGCCTGCCTTACAACTGCCTTCCTGGCGTCCAGCTCCAGAGAGACCCCTTAGCTTGGGGCGTGGGTGTGACGAGGTAGAAGGCCCCCCAGGGCGCTGCGCCCCCCTCACCCTGCTCACGGCTCTCTGGGTCAGGCTTGGGGGTCGGGGGGCGTTGCCCTTTGAGTCTGCTCTGGCAACATGCAGGTTGCTGGTGAGTCAGGCTGGGGCTGTGCTCCACTTTCCTGGCGCCTCCAGAGGCTCCCGGGCCCCCACCTGGGACGCAGACTCCAGGAGCAGGAGCGTCAGCATAGGAGGGGCCTGTATGTGGCCACCCGGTCTGAACAGAGACAGTGCAGCTCTGACACATACTGTTTGTGGAGACCGCCGTGGGTGTTGCCACCACGTTTGTGCCTTAAAGTCACTGGCTTCCCCGCGTCTTGGGGGCTGGCTTCAGATGGGAGCGTGCTGCCTGGCGGAGTTTCTGGGGGCCCTGGCTCCTGTGCCGCTGCTGACCTCTGCCTCGGGGGCTGCAGGACACAACTCGGACGGGAAGTTCATCGCGCGGGCGCAGCGCATCGAGTACGACTGCGAGCTGGTGCCACGGCGAGTGGCCATCTTCATCGAGAAGACGAAGGATGGGCAGATCCTGCCGGTGCCCAACGTGGTTGTGCGCGACGTGGCTTGTGGTGCCAACCACACGGTGAGTGGGAATCCCGGCGCCACCGCCTCCCGGCCTGCCCTGCCCGCTTGCGGGGGCGGCTTCGGTTGCAGCCTGGGTGGGGGGTCGGGGTCGCGCCCCCAGTGTGTGCCGCCTGCCGCAGTCCGACCCGGCTTGGCGTCTTCCCAGCAGACTCCACCCCCTGCCAGGGGCTGAGTCACTGTTCGCTGTTGAGGTAGTTTCTGGAAGGTCCCTTTGGGTGAAGGCAGGACCGAGCACCTGTGCCTCCCCTGGGGCCTGCCCACGTGTTTGCTTCGCCCTGAGAAGAGTGGCCACCGGGCTCACTTCTTGGGCTCAGGGTTGCTGGGCCAAGAGTCAGGGACAAGCGGGCTGGTGCGCCCCACTCGGGCCGCCTGGGGACCTGGGCCAGGACGGAGTGGTCAGCGCATTCCCGGGTCCTGTGTCGGACCCCCAGGCAGGTTGTGGTCAGCGATTATACAGTTTCAAGATCAGATGTGAAACGCCAAACAGATGTTAAAATTGTTGCAGTGACCAGCCAGAGGTGACCTGGTCAGCCGGGCCCTGGCCCTGTGGGCCTCTGTCCTTCCTGTGGCTCTGTCAGTGTTGGCCGAGGCGAGGGGATGTTTGCTCAGGTCTTTGGGGACAGGACTCTCCTCTTCACTGGCGGGTTTTTTTTTTTTTTTTTTAAGACTATTTTGCATTTATTTTATGCTGAGTTTATTCCAGCCATGGATTTGTCGCGACCATCTCCTCAGCTAGGGACTCCGCTCTCCTCCTGTGAGGACCTAAGTGCAGGGAGCGCATGCAGGCCTGGTGTTCGACCGGCTACTTCCCTCACTCCACGCATGAACCGCGGGAGGGATACACAGTACCGTGGGGGGCGGGCTTGTCCTGCAGACACCCCCCACCAAGCCCTGGGCTCTTGGTGTGTGCCCGCAGGTGAACTTGAAGGCTTTGAGTCTCTTGTGGGATTTTCTGGGTCAGGTGACTGAGCCTTGGTAGGTGGCCACTGAGGATACCAAGGACCCTGGGTCTGTAGCTCTCACTTCTGATGAAGGACAGGTGCCACGCGTGACCTGAAGAGACGAGAAAGGCAGAAGGTGCCGTCCCTGGCGGCCTGTGTCAGCCCTGGGCTGTTGCCGCCTGCCCCTTGAGGCCCTGGTGTCTGGTCGGCCCCAGCAGCAGCACTGTGTGTTGTGTCTCCGCAGCTGGTCCTGGACTCCCAGAAGCGCGTCTTTTCCTGGGGCTTTGGGGGCTACGGCCGGCTGGGTCACGCCGAGCAGAAGGACGAGATGGTGCCCCGCCTAGTGAAACTGTTCGACTTCCCGGGACGTGGGGCATCGCAGATCTACGCCGGCTACACCTGCTCCTTTGCCGTCAGCGAAGTGGGTCAGTGCCCGCTCCGGGCCTCGGAGGGGTCCTGGTGGGCACCCGCGCCGGGTGCCCTTGGCCTGGGCTGGGCTGATTCCCCAGGCCCCTCCCGCACAGAGCCCTTGCTCCTGCCTTCGTCCGAGTCACAGGGGGACATGTTTGTCTTTCCTAGGGGGTCTGTTTTTCTGGGGGGCCACCAATACATCCCGTGAATCCACCATGTACCCGAAGGCTGTACAGGATCTCTGCGGCTGGAGAATCCGGAGCCTGGCTTGTGGGTGCGTGGCTGAGACCTGCGGTTCTGGGGGGCGGTGCGGTGGGCCCGGGGCGCCTTTGGTTCTGGGACGCTCTCGCTGCTGACTCAAGTCCCTACGCAGGTGGGAGCACACACGGGAAGAGACTGGACGCCTGCTGAGGTCTTACACTTTCTGGAAAAGGGGTTTGGCTGTTCATTAGCTGCCTGGTTGTGTGTAACCAGGCTTTGAGCCGTAGTTTTGGCCCACCCACACCAGTGGTCAAGTCCCTTGGGAAGAACTTGGCATTCATCCTGGGTTGGTCTCTTCTCTTCCCAGTGTGTGTTGACCTTGGGACCCCTAGTTTGCGGCGGGGCTGGGGGGGGTGGCCACCTGGGACCCTGCCATTCCTGGCCCTGCTGAGGGTTGTGTCATCAGCACCCCCATGAATGAGCCTTCGGGTTCAGGAGCTGGTTACTGGGAAACGAGCCATGAGGCGCCCACAGCGGCATGTACTTGCTTAAAGGTAGTGAGCGGCTCCAGGACCCGGAGGGGACAGGGCTGGGCTGCTGGCTGTGGCCATGACCATCTGTCCGCCTGTTTGCAGGAAGAGCAGCATCATCGTGGCCGCGGACGAGAGCACCATCAGCTGGGGCCCATCACCCACCTTCGGGGAGCTGGTGAGTAAGCCTGCTCAGTGCAGAGGTGGAACCCCTCGGGGCCTCAGGACCTGCCCCCTAGAAATAGGCCCAAGGAAGATGGGGTCCCACCTGTCCTCCCACCCCAGCCCTGTTGCGTTAAAGGTCTGAGTGCCCTAGCTGGAACCGCCCCGCTCTGTGCCCGTCACGTAACGTGTGAAAACTCACTGACCATGTCGCCACACAGCGTAGCCCGGTTTCAGACTCGGCAGCGTCTGTGTCTGGGCCACGGCGGGAAAGGCTGCGTCCTCCTCCCCGCACCTCGGGGCTTGAGCAAGAACAGCCCGTGCGAGGACACGCGTGGCCCCTCCTGGCGTAGCCTGGCCCTGTCTGGGGACGGCGCTCCCTCTGCGCCTGGCGGGGGGAGGGCTGTCGTCCCGTGTCCGCCTGCAGCACGGTGACCCCGCCTCCGCTTGCTTCCCAGGGCTACGGGGACCACAAGCCCAAGTCTTCCACCGCAGCCCAAGAGGTGAAGACGCTGGACGGCGTGTTCACAGAGCAGGTGAGCAGGCTCTGGCCCGGCGCTCCTCTCCGCCTGCTGTGGCCTCCCCGGCCTGCGCAAGCACCCTGAGCAGCTTTCTTGCCACCTCGTGCTGGATGCTCCTGCTGGGGGAGGCAGTGGGAGCCCGCCACCCTCCCTGAGTGACCCCGGCCACGGAGTCCAGCCGTGAGGGTTTGCTGTGCCCTGGGCGCCTTCCTCACCCTGAGCGGGCTGGGCATCCTCGGGCAGGTGGCGCAGTGGCCCCGTGGGGGGTCGGGAACAAGCGCCCGCGTCCCCACCCACCCCGGCCGTGTGGAAGCTGGGGCTCCCTGTGGCAGCCCGGGGGTGCACGTGGAGGCGGGTGGTCTTGGTGAAGGGCCGAGTACGCTTTGCAGGTGGCCCCGGGCGCCAGCTCCACGCTGCACGTAGGGCCAGAGCCGCACACGCCTGCGTCCCCAACGCTGGTTTGTCCTCCCAGGTGGCCATGGGCTATTCGCACTCCTTGGTGATAGCGAGAGATGAGAGTGAGACCGAGAAGGAGAAGATCAAGAAACTGCCAGAGTATAACCCCCGAACCCTCTGACTCGCCCGGGTCCCCCCACTCCACCTCTGCGGCAGCTGTCATTCCATGCACTGGGACGGGAAATCGAGCGCGGAATCTAAAAAGCAAAGGTTGACCGAAGGCGCATTTTTGTTAGCCTCCCTGAGGTTCCGTTCTATAAGTGATCCAACGTCAACTACCTTCTCTGTATGCTTTCCAAAGTGTTTTTTTCTCTTACTTTTTGATTAAAATATTTGCTCATAGTTGACCTACCATTCCTACAAAAGAGGCAGAAACTTTGAGCAATCTAGGCTTTTTTTAAGTTGTTTCTTTTTTTCCTGCTCCCACACACACTTCTCAGAGCCCCCTCTCCAGTTGTAATCAACGTCGTGATCCGAATGGGTGTTACCTGGGACAGGCGCCACCACTTAGCCAGCAGCGCTAGTGGCCCTGGGGGTACCGGCAGCATCCAGGCAAAGACTCCCCCCAGAACCTCGCCCGCATGCTACGGAAGCATCTGGTAGCTTTCCCCTGGCCGCTCGGACGTCCTCTACTGCCTTTGGCTGCAGCATCAGTAGAGCCGGCCGCTTCCCCCGGTGGGGCGCTGGGCCTGTGTCTAGCCGTTCGTCTCTGCTTTGTCCATAAAAGAAGTCCAAGTGGAAATCAGGTGGTCGTGGAACCAGTGGGCCCGAGCAGCGAGCGGAGGCGGGACGCTGCTTCGGGGCAGACCGGCTTCAGCTCCGCGGCTTCTCGCCGCTGGCGCGCACTGGAGCTGCCCGGCCCGCAGCAGGAAGCGCTCTGGAGCCCCTGCCGAGGAGGAGCGGCCCGTTCCGGGCCAGGCTTTGTCGCCCTGCGCCTCTGTCTGTGCCGCCGCTGGCCGGATCCTGCTAGAACGGCCTGTTGGGTTCTGAGACCGGGCGCCTGCTCTGCTCACCCGCCTCCAGTCGCATTTGCTTGGCTTTGGTACCAAATAGCTGGGATTGCCGAAGAAGTCCCCTCCCCGCGTGTCGGCACAGACAGCGTGACTGCCCCGTCAGCCCACGAGTGCCCTGTGCCCAGCTCGTCCCGGTCGCGCTGCTCTGCGTGAGCTACGAGGTGCCTTTGCTCTCGCTCGGACCCGAGAGGGGGGCCGCTCCGGCTGGGCTCTGGGTTTCGAGAGGGTCTGGACTGGTTTGGGTGCTTTAAAATAGATTTTTTAGTTCAGTGGTGCTTACGGGGGAGATGGGGGTAGAACTTCAGTGTGAGATTTGGGTGGATGGGAAGGTTAAAGGTTAAATATTGGTCTTACTCTTTTTTTGCTTTGCTATTGTTACCACTTGTCACTGTCTCGATGTTAAAATGCCAAAAATGATCTAGTCGTTGCTTTTTTCCCCCTTACTCACCCCCCCCCCCCCATGGCTCCTTACAGTGGCTTCTGCCTTTGAGGGCATTGAGCAGGCTCTGTCTGGCCAGTCCCCCCCCCTGGGGCCGCGTGTAAGGAGATTGGCCGAAGCTCCAGTCTGGTTTTGTGCTCACCTCCACCATCCAGCCGGTAGTCTGGGAAGGACGCTTCTGCTAAACTAACCTCGTTGGTCCAAATCACCCCAAGCCACCGTCTCTGGCTCAAGCTTTCGCGCGTGGAGCCCTCCGGTTCCCTGGACGAGTCTCGTGGAAGGGAGTGTGGGCGCACCTGCCCCAGGGCCCGGGCCACCTGTCTTATGTGATGGCCAGGGGCCAGGGTGGTGGGAGCTGAGACCGAGCTCTGGCCTCTGCCAGGGCTGCCCCCACCGTCCGTGGGTCTGCCGTCTGCCTGGGGACTGCCTGAAGCCCATGGCCAGCCAATCCTAGAAAGTAGCCCCTGGCCAGGGACTGGAGCAGAAAGGGCGCGTCCTTCCGAGTGAGGCCCTGTCCTCTCAAAGCCGTTTTTTTGGCTTTGAATTTTAAATGACCTTCCTACTAGGGAGAGAACTCTAGAAAAGGAGGCAGTGTTCCTGTACTCCGAGAGAAAGGTACAGAGGGCCCTGGGCAGGATGGGTATTAGGTGCTGACCCTTTGGGCAGCCGACGTCTTCCAGCTGAGGAGGCTTGGAGGGAAAGGGGATCCAAGAAAAGGAGGTGATTTGGTGAAGGTGCCTGGTTTAGTGCTGTAATTGTCTTATTTTTTTTTTTTTATATATATATTCTTGGAGTAAACATTTTAAATAAATGACATCATTGTTTACTCTGTTTTGGCTTTGTTTCTTTTTCCATAGGAGGAATATGTGGGCACCCCCTACCACTGGCTGCTCATGTACCCCAAAAAGGATTGAGTGAAGAATGGCTCCAGGGAAGGAGGGCCAATCAGTGGTCACTGTAACTTCTAGACCCACACTGTGGAAATGGGGGTGGTTGATCTCACTTGCTCAAGCCACCTGGCTCTGAAGAGGATTTCACTAGATCAGGCATGGAAGAATCCAGAACAGTGGTGCATCTCATGTTCCCAGAACTGTGTGTTCTCATCCACCCCCAACTCTTAAAGGAGCCCAGTGGTCACTGATGTGAGTTCAGGCTAGTGCTGACCCCTAAGGGCAGTATGGCAGATTGTCCACCAGAGGGTGCCAGAGGCCAGCTTTGTGTTAAGCGCAGGTGGGGGGGGCACCCCACCCCCCAAGTGGTGCCTGTGAGTACAGGCTTCTCTGCTCACTGGCCACTTGAAGCCACATACACCGCATGGGTGGGTCACGCTTGTGGCACTTTGGCGATGCAGGTTGCTTTAAGCCAACACATCCTCGTTCTAGAAGGAAGCTGTTTCCCAGTCCAGGTCCTCCACCGTCATAGGTCAGTCAAAATGTAAACTGTGTTCTTGGAATTTACCAACGCTGATGGCAAACCAGGTCCTGGTTGGGACCTGGGAGGGGTCTGCGAGTGACAGCTGCCAAGAGATGTGCTTGGGTTCCTCAACGCTGGGTCCCGGCTGGTAGAAGCCTTCGGGAGAAGGGGACAGGTGGCAGATGTCCAGAGACGTGGCCTTGGCTGTGGCCACGGGTGGCAGTGGACAGCCTGTGTTTGGAATGACCCTGTCGGAGTCCCCAGGAATGGACGCCCTTTGGGAGCTTGCTCTGGAGCAGGACACAACCCCGTGCTGGGAGAGGCACCATTAGGCTTGAAGATGGCCCCCAGCCAGCCCCTGGCTGCATGGGTGCCCAGTACAGCATGGGTGGGCAGGAGAAGGGTGTCAGGCCTGCAGCCCAGGGGAAGCGGCGGCTGGTGTTGGGGTCCCTTCCTGGGGGACAGCCCTCTCTAACTTTGGAGGAGTTTGTTGGCGAGGCCATCGCTGTCCTCCCTGTGCTTGGCAGGCCCCTGGGCCAGCATGGCCAGCAGCACAGGCTTGCAGGGGGAGGTTCTGGGGATCACGCTGGAGAGACAAACAGGTCACCTGGAGGGAGGGCAGGGTGGGGCCTGGCTGAGGCCTGAGCCCTCACTGTCCCAGAGCTGCCTCCACCCGGACTCCTAGGCCGCTGAGCAGCCTCAAGCCTGGACCCTGGCTTGGGGGAAACTCAACTGAATAGATGGGAGGATCACGGCTACAGGGAGAGGAGTCTTCCCACTCGGAGCTGTGGTTTTACGGGCCTGCCATTCTCGATGCAAGGACTTGCTTGTGTCGATGAAGATTCTGAAGCCCAGAATCTTCTTAGCCTAGCCTGTTTTCTCTTGATGGGTACAGGGACTATTTCCTTCACCTGAGGGGTGGGCAGTAGTGCAAATATGTCAAATGCCCACAGGCCTAGGCACAGAGATGGCAGGGTCGGCAGGGAGTGGAGAATGGGGCCGGAGGCTTCAGCTGAACCCAGGCTGGGCAGAGCCGATGATTCATGAGCAGGAACTGGGGGGTGTCCAGGCTTGGGTGAAGAGGTCTCAGTTGTTCATGCCTCGGGAGAAATGCACACTGGGCGAGCCAAGCCAACCAGTCAGCTTACGACTCGACAAGCTGGTTGCCCAGGAGCTGTCACTGTCCTGAAGACGGGTCAGGGGCCAGGGCCGGCCTGGAAGGGAGAAGGTGCTAGTTGGGGCTCTAACCCAGCTTATTGATGAGGCTTAGCCTAGAAAACCACTTCCTACTCCCAAGTTCAAGACGAAGAGGCCCCAGGTTCCCAGAGGCCTCACGTGCCCGTCACACCCTCCCCCGAACAAGGATGCGGCTGCTTAAATGCTGTCAGGACACTAGCGCTTTAATGGATATTAGTGGCCACTGCTCAGTGGGCAGCTCTGCCCGAGGGCCTCAGGGTGGTCGCATTTGCCACCCCCTGGCTGAGCACCAGTGGTGAGTGGGTTCTAGAAGGGTCTCTGGCACCCCAGGCAGCGCCAAGGGTCAGAACTCCCTTGCGTGGAGTCACAGGCCCTTTGTGCCAAGCGTGAGCTGGTGCCTGGCTCTAAGGCACCATCTGCCACCACTTGAAAGCGAAGGGCACCCGGCGCACGTTGGCGCAGGCGCAGAAGTCCCCGATGTCGGTCAGGTAACAGTCGAAGTCGTCAATGAAGGTACATTTGAAGTCCAGGGGCTCCAGCAGCTGGCAGATCTTGTCCTCCAGGCAGCAGGCACCCTTGATCTGGGGCCCAAATGGCTTGGGGATGCCCAGGTTCCTGTCCAACACGACCATCTGCATCTGTCGGGAGAGGGCAGGCCAGGTTCCCCTGAGCACACCCAGGACCACACTGGCTTCAAAGGGGGGGCCCTTGCATACATACAACCCCCTGCCCCATCTCACCTGTTAAAATGAGGTGAAATGTTTAAATGTTTGAGCCCCTCTACAGCCTGGGCAGGGAATAAATGGACAAGACCACCCCCATCTTTGGGGCTCGCGCTAAAGCCCCATGGCCAGCAGATGGATCGGCATGCTGGGCTCTCGCCCAGGGTGTCCAGTCTGAGATGGGCCCCGGTCTGCCCTTTGGGCACGAGGGGAGGCCCCTCAAGCACTCGGCCCAGGGCCCAGCCCAGAGTGACTGGCAAGTGCCCCCCCCAACCCCTAGACCTGCTTTCCAGGGGGTGTCCCTCACTGAGTGGGTAGGGCCCTGTCTCACCAGCTCTCAGGCAGCATGACCTGCCACGTCCCCACCTCTCCTGTCAACCACGTCAGTCGAGAACCATCCAGAGTTGGCAGAACAGCCCACCCCTGCAGGAGACACCCCTCACCAGGTTGGGGAAGTAGGGTCTGGCGAAGAGCTTCCCGGTCTGCTGGCTGGAGGGCACGTTGGTCAGCTGCTCCAAGCAGAAGAGCTGCGGGATGTCGATGATGTCTCTCTCCAGCAGGCCCAGCTCCCGCTTCAGCACCTCCCGGTTCAGGCCGATGCACTTCTGTGGCGGGGAGAAGCGGCCATCAGGGCTAGAGGTTCATGCCTTGCAGGCCACGGGCAGAGTGCGAGCAGCCCCGTCGCCCGCTGCGCCAGGAGCCCTGTACTCCATATGCTCTACCAGAGGGGCTCGGGGAAAAGGCTGGTCGCAGTGGCCAGGACCAGCAAAGGCTTGTCAGGGCCGGGGCAGCCGCTGGCCTCAAGGCCATAGGAGCAGATGGCCACTTTGCCTCAGCCTGGCCAGGGTGGGGGGCCGAGCAGTGGCGACGGGTGTGGGGGCCAAGAACAAACCCTCGGCCCTGGGAAGGGTAAGAGCAGGGCAGCCCCCTCCTCAGACCAGCTGGTACCCCCAACACCCCAGATTTCCTCAGGGTCTTGACCAAGGTTCATGCTCCCCACTCCCAAGATACCTGTCCCTGGGGCTTGAGATCTGGCCCCACGCCCGGTCAGCACACCGACTGCCAGGCCCCCAGGCCTTCCCAGGTTTTGTAAAAGTCAGGAAGGACACCCGTGTCCTCAGCTAGGGGCAACAGGCGCAGAGGGCAAAGGGGTTTTGCATGGACTGCGAGCCTGGACCTCCACTGCTAGAAGCTGAAAACCTCCTCTGGGAGCCTTTCTGCGTCTCGGCCAACAGTTCTCAGTTTGGGACTCCAAGCTGGTCCTGGAGCTGGGTGGTCCCAAGCTGACAGACCCTGCTCTGGTCTTAGTTTGGTGCTCAGAGCCTCTTAGGGACATTTGGGGGGGGTGGGGAGGGGCCTCTGGGCCAGGAAGACACTAGACTGAGCACCGTTTCTGCTCACAGACACCAGACAAGTTGAGAAGCACAGCAAATGCAAACGTTCAAATGGATCCCACCTCATGCTCAGTACTCACCGGGGTTATCTTGAGGACTGACGAGAACTTTGCAAGATGCTTGGAACTGTAGACTGGCCGGGTGCACCGTCTAGACCCCTGTGCCCGCCCCCCTGTCTGGAGAAGGCCCCCTGCCCCTGGTTCCTACCTCCACATAGTCGTTCTGCTTTCTCATGTCTTCGTCAGCCAGAAGCTGATTGATGGTGTAGGCCTCCCTCCCTGCAGGAAGCAGAGGCCGCACTGTCTGCAGATGGGCAGATGTGGCCCCTGGGCATGGTCAAGTGTGTTCTGGAACCATGACTATGACAGGTGGTCTGGCCAATCTCAGGTACCCAGGTGGGCCCAAGAAAGCCCAGGAGGACTTTTTCACTGCCACCGGCCACTGTCCCTGGTTTGAGGGGACAGCCTTAGAGTGGCAATTTGGAACCGGTTAAGGTTAACAAGGTGGCTTTGGCCCCTGCTCACCTGGCCACCTGCTGCCTGTGATCTTGATCAGGTTAATAAAAAAAAACTTGTATGCAGAATAAAAACTAGAGCCAGGAAAAAGCCCGGTGCCCATAAATGAAAGGTAAATGGTGGTTCATTCAAGGGAAGACAACTAGGGAGTTGAGGTTCTTATGTTGTGGCCTTGATGGAAGTCAGTACGCGGCATGAACCCTTGGGCGGGGGTGGGGAGGGAACACGACGGCTTCAGCCAGACACAGGTTTGACCAGGTCGTTGTGCTGGCTGCAAGTCACCGGCCAAGGGAACGTGCAAATGTCACATTCTGGGTGGTTCTAGGATACCAAGATTCCCATCCCAGTCCTGAAGTTTGGTTCAGGAGGGCCAGAGGGCCTGGGTCACCCAGAGCTGTCGGTCTTCGGCCCCTTTTGAGTAGCCAGGGTCTAGAGCACCTCTCAGCACCTCTCAACCCTCCCTGGGTTCCACCAGATCTACACAAGACTGCACCCTGACCACAGCAGGTTTCCCCGAGAGGTGACCAGGAGACCCCCAGGTGCTGAATCCAGCACACCCAGAATAAATCCAGACCCAAGGGGCAGCATGGAGCCGACCATGTGCTAAGCTCCCCCCATACACATTCTAGCAGCTTCTGGGCCGTCCCAGGACCTCTGGCCATCCCCCTGTGCTACCCAGTGCAGCCCAGACCTGTCCTAAAACATCAAACAAGATGCTCTCACTCTTCCCTGAGGCCCTTTGCGTCTGGAGGAGGAAAGAGCCCTCTCGAGGCCTTTCTAGAAGAGAAAGGAAAGAGCCCCCACCCCCCCTCTGCCCTGTGAGCGCTTCCCCTACCGTTGGAAAGGAGCTGGTCGTGGCGGACCTCCTCGAACAGGACCATGTCGCCGTAGCCCTCCTCCTGCTTCTCCCGGAACAGCTTGTAGCAAGCACTGGGGCTGGCCAGGAGCAGCCGGAAGCCCTGCAGCAGCACTGGGGTGACCCGCTGCCCCCCTGCCAGCTCCCACGGTCTCCAGAGGAAGGGGAGACAGACACGGTCCCCAGCCCCGCCCCGAAACAGACCTTCTCGTCCTCACGCTGGTCCCGCGTGGGGAGGAAGCACAGGAACTCGCCCACGTGGCCCACCATGAGCCAGTCGGAGAAGAGCTCGACCGGCGCCTGCACCCGCTGGGCGTCCAGGAAGCTCCGCAGGGCCTTGCTCATGTCTCGGCCCTCCTTGCTGAAGGGAGAAGGCAAGGCGGCCCCTGAGCCGGCCAGGGCCCAGGCTGGCCAGCAGCCATGGCCACTGTCCGGTCATCCTCAAGGGACATCCTCAAGGGACCTGCTGCTATACCCGCGGGGCTCGAGGGCCAGCCCCTAGGGGTGGGGTGGTCATTACAACCCCCTACTCTGGTCAGGCTCCGGCCTGAGCCTGGGACCTGAGGTCTCTCGGACTTCCCACCCGGAAGTCAGCCGCGTGCCTTGTGCATATAGCACGCTGCGGGGCCCGAAGACCAGCCGGAGGGGGTGCAAGTTCGCTGGCCCTGAGCCCTGTCTACCAGGGCTTTTTCTCCCTCTAGCTACTGGCCTGAGTCAAAAGTTCAGAGCTTTGCTTGAGGGTGCATGCAGGTGGCCTGTGGCGGGCCAACTATTAGGGGCCTCCTTAAAGGCTAAACTCACGCCTCACCTGGGGTAGAAGCTGCTGCCAACCAGGATCCTGCCGAGGGGGTACTCCTTCCCCTTCACCTTGACAGGTGGGGACACCATCAGGTTCCCGATGGAGTCCATGCTGGCCACCCTGTGGTCACTGGTGCGCCGGGTCACGTAGCCAACTCCAGGGCTCTGGAAGGAGACCCCATGGGGAGGAGGAGGGGGGGCCTGCAAGTTCCAGTCTTACCCCTGATCCAGACTTTGTGGGGAGCCCCAGGCCCCTGCCCCCACGCCTCCCAACCCAGGCCTCCTCCCTGGTACCCTTCAGGCTTGCCAGGCCCCATACCAGCGAGTATTTCATGGGGAAGTCTTCCAGTTTGAGGACCCGAGGGGTGTCGAGAAGGAAGGAAATCGTCTTGTGGGGGGCCTGGGTGTAGCAGAAGGCCATCTCGTCCTGGAGGGGACAGGAAGACACGCCATGAAGGTCACTCATGCCACCAGCAGCTGTCCCACCTGTGTCCAGCCAGCCCATCCTTCCTGCAACCCCTGCTACCTCCCCCTCCCCCAGCTCAGCTCAGGTGTCACCCCCTTTTTGGGGTTTTTTGGTTGTAATTTAATTATTTTTATTTACATTATTCTTCATTGTATGTGTTTTTCCTTCTCCGTTGTAATCCCCATGGGCTTCCCACCACCAACTTTTTCTTCTACTTTTCAAGGTTAAGCCCTGAGTCACTGGAAGCCTGCCTGCTCGCTTCTAAAGACTTGTTGGGGTTCTGCCAGGCGCGCCCAGTGGCCTCCTCACTGGCACCACTCTGGGGAAGCCCTGCAGTCTCCTGCAACCACTGATACCCTCCGCCTGGGCTATGCTTGCCCCTCCCTAAGACCTGGTCTTCATTCCTCAGCCAGAGGGATCTTTATCAAAACCCAAATCCGGGTGCTCTCTGGTGGCGCAGTGGGTTAAAGTGCTGCACTATGAAGCCAGCTGCAGCTGCTTCAGAGCGAGTTTGATCCCTGGCCGGGGGCTGACCCACAGGGCGCAGCAGACCTCTGTCTCCCGGCTGCTCCCCTCAGCAGTGTGCTTCACTGATCTGCCTGTTCTGCTCCCCACTCTGTCTCTGGGGAATCCTCTCACTGCCCTGCACCTCTGGCCTGTACCCCAGTTCTGTATGCATAAATAAATCTTTAAAGAAAGAAAACAAAAAACCCAAATCAGGAGGTTCTCCTGACTTTAATTTGTACCTCCCACCATCACCCCATCTTATTTTAGATCCCGCCCCCCCTCACAGTGGCCGGAAAGGCCCCACGTCAAAGACATAGCTCTTGCCTGCCTCTGATCTGTCCACTCTGCCCTGGCTCCCTACCACAGTCCAGTCTCCAGCCAGCTGTCCCTCTGCCCTGGGCCCCTCCTCATCCCCACCCCTGGTCTTTTTACCTTCAGTTCTTTGTTTCCCTGAATTTGAACATTTCCCTGACCACCCAGGCCATGGTTTGGCTAGTAACTCACAACACTGTCTCATTTCTTGCTTTCCACAAGAGTTCTGGGGCTCAGGACGGGAACGGGGGTGCTGTCCACCCCTTCTCTTATTGCTAATACTAAGAACGGCGGCCAGTTTGCAGCAGCATGGTATTTGGGAAGCTGACCGGTGCCTGCCGGGCTGGGCCCTGGGTGCTGACGCTGCTGGGCCCTTGTGTGCCCGGCTGAAGGCTCTGGGGTGGGAAGGAATTGGCAGAGAAGGATGGCCGGAAGCCTGGGAAGGTCACTGTCCTCTGTCCCTCTCCTACAGTGGGTTCCCTGGTGGGTGCTACTTGGAGCCACCGGCCGGAAGCCTGGGAAGGTCACTGTCCCCTGTCCCTCTCCCACGGCGGGTTCCCAGGTGGGTGCTACCTGGAGCCACCTGCCCAAGCGGTTGGTGTCCTCGTAGACAGATGCCACCTGGCTGTTGCTCCTCTCGCTCAGCTCCATCACCGAGTGGACGAAGCCCTGGAGCTGCAGCTCTCTGCCGTGGAGGTAAGCCAGCTCTGGAGTGGCCTTGCAGGGGGTGGGGATGGAGGGGGAAGGGAGACCGCCCACCTCCGCTGTGAGGACCCGCTGCACCAGGAAGGAGCGCTTCCTTGTGGGCAGGAGCTTGTGCCTCACCCAGGCGCTCAGTGGAGTGGCCAACCCCCCACAGCTGGCCGCTCAGGGCAACTTGCCCATCACCGGTCAGCTCGGCTCTTGGCAGAGTCTGCCAGAGCCCTGCGTGTGGCCTGGGACCCATGCTGCCCCTGTTTGAGGCATTTCCTGTGAGACGCCAAGACGCACGAAGCTGGCCGGCCCCTTCCGCACGAGAGGGCCACAGGGTCACTGTGTGTGGGTGTGTAGGCCTTGAACCCTGGGGTCAGTCTGCTCAGCAGCAGGCCTCGGGCCCAGCTGTGCATCCACTCCTTGCAGGCGTGACAGTGGCATAAGGCTGCCTCAGAGCCACCTTTTATACACAGTCCTCATGGGCGAATAGCAGCAAGGTCTTACTTTGGGGGCATTATTAAAAGTGGGATTCTAGTCTGGTTTGAGGTCCCGAATGACACTGCTATTCTAGGCTGCTGTGCCAAAGAGCCCATGTCCGTCTATCTGTCCACACAGACAGGACACCAGGGAGCTGCTGAGCAGCCTTGTGAGGTCTGGAAGCATCTGAGGTTTGTGTGTGGGGTGGTGTGGAGCCCCAGTCTCACAGGCCTGCTGTGGCGAAGCTGGATCAAGCCACACCTGAATTCCTCCCCTGCCCCTGGGGCATTCTTAGGAGACCAGGTCAAGGCCACTTCACATGAGTGAACACATCTGTCTTCAGATACAAGAGACAAAGCAGAAAGATCTGGTATCTGGGTATTTGTTATCAGCAAAACTCCTTGGGTTCTAGACCCTTCTCATCTGAAAGCCTGTGAGTCGAGGCCCCTCCTCCTCAGTGGCTCTCCTGTGGAAGAGCCGTTGCCGCTTCCCCCACTTCAAGAAAGAACATTCCTGTTTGGTATGATTTGGTAATTTAGCTTTTGGGCCTGGGGATGCTCAACCATCTCCCCACAGCAATGCACAGGAGTAGCGTTACCAGACTCTCCAGGCTTCTAGGCCTCCTCGGTGTTCCTGGAACACACTCGAGTCCTCACCTTCCACCTCCTGACCCTACATGAAACCACGCAATTTTTTTGTCTCCCTCTGCCTAAGAGCATCCTAAGGACCACCCCCTGCAGGTAGAACCAGGCAGCCCAGGGAGAAGGATTTCGCTGTCCTGGTGACAAGGTCTAGTTATCTTTACTCCCCACGCTGCAGACAGACAGGTAAGAGTAGCAGTTATGGACATGACCTGCATGGTCAGCCTGTGGGTGTGCTCACCTGCACAGGTACACCTCTAGCGGCATCTGGGTGCTGGGAGTGAAGATGCAGGGAGCTACCCGGAACACTACCGTATCTTTGTACACCAGCGTCTCTGGGATGGACTGTAAGAGAGACAAGGTCCTGGGCCCTCCCTGGTGGCGCAACGGGTTAAAGCGCAGCACTATGAAGCTGTCCACAGCCACTGCAGCACAAGTTCAATCCCCGGCCGGGGAGTGACCCACAGGGCGCAGCAGACCTCTCCTGTCTCCCCGCTGCTCCCCTCAGCAGTGCATTTCAGTGGATCTGCTTGTTCTGCTCCCCACTGTCTCTGGGGGAATCCTCTTACTCCCCACACCTCTGGCCTGTACCCCAGTTCTTATGTACTTAAGTAAATAAATCTTAAAAAGACAGACAAGGCCCCATGGGTGCTGTGGTTCCATGTATCCCCTCCCTCCTCCTAGCCCCCCCCCCCCCCCGCTCCCCTCAGTTCCCAGTAGCCCAGCCCACTTCTGGGTCCTCTCCTATCACTTGCCGCTCTGTCTCCCCAAGGCAGCGTGAAGCCCTAGCTCCACCCCCCACATCCCATCTCCCCCTATCTCCGCCGGCCATGAGCGGCATCTCTGTCCCCACACAGTCCCTGGCCCCAGCTGCTACTCTGCCTGGGGGTTTACCGGGTCTTGGGACTCTTCCAGCAGGGAGACAGAGTAGGAAATCAGGCCTGAGAAGTCAGCGGACGGGAACTCCATAGCTTCAACATAGAAGGTCTCCTTCAGCTGGCCCTCCTTCAGGTGATCCTCCAGCGCGGGGAAGGTGTACGTGTGCTGGCCAGGCCCCAGCATCACCTGGAAGGTGCTGGAGCGGTCTTCTAGAAAGGAGAAGGCACAGAGCAGCTGCTGAAGGAGCCAGGTGCCCATGACCAGTGCTGATGGTCAAGGGTGGGGCTGGACCCTCGTGTCAGCAGCAGCCCGGCTGCTCGGACCAACCTCACCACCCCTCCGTTTCTAGCCTGGGCGGACTGGTCATTTACACATCAACGCACTTTAGAGATCCATGACCCACCGGGACTGGGAAAGACCCGCCTTCAGGGGCCCCATGTGGGTGAAGACCCGTTGGGGTGCTTCTATGTATTGACCAACTTTGGGGAGGAGACTGGCAGGAGTCTTCAAGGTGAAAAACTGTGCCAAGGTGGGCTGGCAGCCCCATGGAGAAGCCTGGCATAGCTGGACCGAGTGCTGGAAAAGACAGTCCGTGAGAAGGGCCCGCCAGGAGAATCACCCCTCTTGGGGGGGCTTCTGAGGAAGCCAGAAGGTGTCCAGGTGCCAGACCCGCTGTCCCATGGTCAGGGGGCACAGTGGCTAGGTCATCTAGCTCACTGGAGCCAGATCTGCCCAGCCACCAAGCTTCTCCCGCTGGACCACTACCTTCTCCCCACCTGGACTTCAGCCACAGTCCTCATCCTTCTGACCATTCTCAACCCTGACGATCGCAGCTCCCACATAAACCCTCTGGACAGGGTCCAAATCCCAGCTCGGCTTCCCTTGGCCACAACAGCCTTCGCCACACCCCCTAAGGCCTCAAGCACAGCAGGTGCCAGCTGCCCCGATCCTCCACAGGCTGGCGGATGACCGCTACGGCTGTCCTTGGTGGTCCTTGGGTGCGAAACAGCTCCGTTCATTAGCATCAGTCTGTGTGCACCAGCAGGTCGCGAGAGCAGGGGATAGCGTGGATTTGTGCTGGGTCCTGCTTCCCACTGTCCATAATTCCCTGAGCCTAGAGGTGAGGCGGGCATCCTCTTGGCTCTTGGTCATTCTAGACCTTCTGGAACATTCCTTCAGTCAAGGGACATGCTCTCCAGTAAAGCCACCTGCCCGCCATCTTCTCCCTGGAGTCTCCCTGTGTGGCCAGTGGCCCTCACAGGCCTCCAGACCGCTCACTCCTTTGACCTTACTGCAAAGCTGCCTTCACTGCCCCAGGCCCAGACCCCCCTCCAGAGCAGAAGCCTCGAGTCTGCTTAACTCAGATATTCTTCAACTCAGCCCCCAAACTTTCTTCTGCTGATTCCCACCCTCACCCCTGCTGCCGTCTTTACCCTCCTCACCTTCCAAGACCTTTTTCCACATTCACTCATTGCACACGCCAGAGCTCCCACACTTGCCTGGACTTGCCCGGCGAGGCCTCGGCTCTGGTTAAACCGACTCTGTGAAACCCTTGTACCTGAGCAGCTGAGAAGCCACTGTGCTGAAAGGCCCCTGCAGGGCTCCTAGCGCAGCCCACTTTCACACTGTGGGTATGCGCAGGGCCTTTCAGGGCGGGAGCAGCCCTCACCCTCATCGTCAGCAATGACCCTGGCCATGACCCACGGGCCATGATCCCATGCAGCTTGGGCTGCCTTTCTGGCCGGTCCCCGGTCTCCTGCCAGCCCAGCCGTGACTGACGGTCCTCAAGAGAAGTGAGCAGTGCACAAGTGTCCAGCCCTGACCTGCCACTCTGGGCCTCCAGCTGCCTTTGAGGGGCGCCTGCCAGGAGTGGGTGTGGCCACAGCTGAGGAAGAACAGACCAGGGAAAGCCCCAAGGATGCTCACGCAGGGCCCGGTAGACTCTCGCCTTCTCCGCCTCGCCCTCGGAGGTGTGCAGGAGCAGCCGGTGTCCCTTTAAGAAGCAGCTGGGTCCTTGAACGGTCACTGTCATCGGGGACAGACGCTTTATTTCTGCCCAGAAGACATGGCAAAGTCAGGGCTTCTGTGGATGGGTGCTTCAGGGGTGGAGGAAGGACTGGCAGGGGTGGGGGCTGGTGGACCTTTGCCCTCCCTCACCCCCCATTTGGCCCAGGCTGCTCAGCTTCCCTGGTGTCTCTGCCGTGGGCACCCCACATGGCCAGGGGCAGGAGCTGGCGAGCTATTTTGAGGGTGGTATTTACCCGTTCAGTTTGTTGCTGCAAACACCGAGGACAGGGGCTGGCGAGGTTAGTTCGGCAAGGCCCTAGCGCCCTCGCCCCAACCCTCCAGTCTTGGGGAGAAGCAGAACATCCCATTCTACTGCCGGGACCCAGAGCCTGGGTCCCACCACGCGCGCCAGCCCTGAATGGGGGACTGTGAAAGGGTGCGGGGAGCCTTGTACTTTTCTGGTGTCTTCTGACTAGTCTTCTCAGCCAAAATGGGTCAGCCCCGATTTATAGGCAGCAAGACAAGATCAGGGAAGTGAGCACGTTCAAGTTCAGGGCCAGGAAGTAACGGTTCTGACGTCAGAGCTCATGCTCTTCCCCTGGGGCTGGGGTGGGTGGGGCGGGGTCTCTTTCTTCCCATTTCAAAGCTTCAAGCCACAACAAAGACTCAAGGATCTCAGAGCAGGGAGCTCAGCCTGGCTCCGACCCCAAGGCAGAGAAGCGCCCGGGCCCAGGCTGCGGCCTGGCCCTCCTTACCCTCCGAGGAGAGCTCCTTTGTGGTGGTGTCTACGGGGTGGCCCGCCTCCTCGGGGCTACAGTTCACAAGCAGGATGGCACCCCAACCGTTGGGGCCCCACACCCAGTTTTTCTGCAAAGACAGGAACGTTGGTTTAGGAAGAATCTAGGGAAACCCTCTCCTTCCCAGTGAGACCCCACTTTGGGGACAGACAGAGCCGGGCTTCCCTCCAGGGTCGGGATTGGGATTTGCCAACTCGTGTCAGAAGGTGACAGGGCAGGAAGAAGGACAAGCCAGGTGGGGGGGCATCCTGCTGGTGGCAGTGTGGGGGCAGTGGGGCCTGGGCCGCCTGGAGGACGCGTCCATAAGCAGAGCAACGGCCCTTCTGTGCTAGCGACTGGACCCACGGGCTGGACATGCGCCCAGCGGCACCACACACTAGTTTTCTGAAGAGTCTAGAAATCGGCTTCACCAGTTCAGATCTGTAGCGCAGCAGTTTGCCTTTAGAGATGCTCCAAAGGTCGGGGAAAGTGCCCGGTCCTGGCTCCTGGGCCCACAGCTCACCTTTGCCTCTGTGTCGCTCACCAGCTGAACTTGCCCACAGCGGTAGATGTCCACGTCCAGAGAGACCCCTGGAAATGGGAGGGAAAGGCCTCAGCCCCCTCCCCAGCCCCCACACGCTTCTGGACAGAGCCCGGGGGGCAGTCCCCCCAGGGCTACCCCAGGTCGGTTTGGGGGTTATCCTGCTTCTCGGGCAAGCAGTAGATTCAGGGGCTTGCCTGGAGAGACCATGTACTTGCCGCCTCCCCCAGCCCCTGTCTGGAAACTCACCGAGCAATCCACCGGGCTCCTGACACCGTTATTTATCTGAACCCTGCCCGGACCATGCCTAGCTGAGAGATCTACTCTAGCCTTCTGGAAGGGTCTCGGCACTCCAAGACAGGGGCAGGGCTTCATTATAATTTCAGCCTCCTGCGAGCTTAGAGATCCAGGCTTCTGCCCAAGAAGCTCCGGAGAGGTTTCTACTTCTTTACAGCCGCCATTTCACCCACCACTGTGTGGCTTCACCCTGGTTTTATTTTTGTTCTTAGGCCTTATCTGTTTCTCAACTGAAATGTCAGAGCCAAGAGCCCAGCTCTGCTTGTGGCAGGGTCTTAGCCCTGGACCATGTTTGGGGACCAGGGGCCCAAAACGAGTCAGGTGTGTTTCTCGGGGTGCAGGGAGGCATTCGCAGGGCAGAGGCGGCCTCCTCTGAGCTGAGCACACACAGGTGTCCCCGGGGCAGGGAGGGGGGAGGCGTGAAGAAGTAACTAAGGTCCATGCTAAGTTACATGCTACAAAGGAAGGAAGGAGCCAGCTTCAAGCCATCAGAGAATCTAAACTGCAGTGAGAACCAGGCCTGAAGGAGGTGAGCAGATGCTGTTAGTGTCTGCAGGGAGCAGCGAGATGAAGTACAAGTGGCAGGCTCGGGGGGCTGATGGGGGGGCAGGGGCAGTACCTGAGGCGATGGGCGTGGGACAGTGTGGGCTGGAGTTTGTGGGCAGTGGAGACTCAGGCCTTGGGCTGTATCGGGAGGCAGGGGAAGGCCTTGAATTGAGGGGACAGCACCTGACACCCTTTCTAAAATGTGCCGCTGCCAGGGAACCCCAGTGGGTACCAGGCATGACCTAGGCGAACCAGGACAGTGACTCGGATCAAGCTGAGAGCACGACACGGCGAGTCCAGCTGGCTTAAGGCAACGAGACTCCTGACTGGTGCGGGCTGGGAGAGGGTGGTGAGCCTGGGGAGGGCTGGGCTAAGGGTCTGTGGAGGGCCCCCGAGAACCCTCCCTGCTGGGGAGCCGGAGATGGAGCAGCGTCCCCAAAGTGCTTCAAGTGGGATGGAGCCAGTTGTCTGAACACGGACCACAGATCACAGTAGGGAGGCAAGGGGGTGTCAGGACTCTGTGGGGACAGTGTCCACGGCAGGGGTCTGATTTGAGTAGGTCAGAGAAAGGGAAGTGAAAATGGGGGTTGCAGAGAGGGCCCCTAAGAAAGAAGGGAGTGGTGTTTGAAGACAACACAGAATAAGGTTTAAGGAATAGTCAGTACAGCTTGCTCCTATTAAGGGAACAGGCATTCTCGTTTGTTCTGGAATGATCCATGAGTGAAGGGGTCGTGGTTTCCTACATCAGCAAGAACTGTTGAAGGACTGTTCTTGAAGGAACGAGGGGAGAGGCTCTCACTGATAGAACTGACACACCTGGCCCAAAGCTGACCTAACAGGACCTGGGCAGGTGGCAGGTGACGGGGGGCGTGGAAGCTCCCATGGCCTCTGCTCTCAGAGAAGAGCAGGGGTGACAGAGACCCCTGTGGCACCAGCTGTGGGCACACGTGAGTGGAGGGCTTCAGAGAGCCCATCCAGGGCCCGGGAGCCCCTGTGCAGGAGCGCCCCCTGGGCACCCCCTGCGTCTGCAAAGCCCACCTCCCTGCCGGCTGGACGCACTCACCGATGCCCGTCAGGTAGAGCACTCCAGTGGCCACGGGGGGTTCCACGTCGGGCTGATAGTAGGAGACCAGAACCTGCGAAGACAGCAGCCGGGGCCGTGGCAGCCACAGAGCAGGCGCGAACAGGACCCCAACCACACGCCCACGTCCTGGACCCTGGGCTGGAAGAGCAGCCCCGAGGTCCCGCTGCGAGCTGGCGCAGGGCAACCACACCCATCAGCACTGAGCACGACCCCCATTAAATGTGCCAGACCCTCCCAGGCACGTCCAGAGGCCCCCCAACTCAGCTAGTGGGCCTGCCCCCAAAGGCAGAGTGACGAAGGGACCCGCTCAGTGTCGCTCAGCCAGAGGCGGGTGGGTCGGGACTCAAGACCCAGGCTGCCGGGTCTGGACACCCAGTTTCAAACTGTGCCCTTTGTCCCCGCCGCCTTTGTGGGGTCTTGCCCGTCACCCCGTGAAGTGGGCAGCAAGAACTGGGCCTCCAGTGGGTCCGGTCACCTCAGGGTCCCCACCAGCTCCTGCTTCCAGGCCTGTTACTGCAGCCTGGAGAACCGCCCATGAGCTGGGCTGGCACAGCTGCGACCTGCCACCTCCCCGCGGGGGGCTTCCATCCTCCCAGGGGCAGCACATCGGGGGGCCGCTCCCCGGGAGGTGGCGGCTGAGGCCCCGCAGAGAACCAGCGCAGAGGCCTGGCCCTCTGCCTTGCTACCCGCAGGCTTCCAGCAGGTTCTGTGGACATGAGTCCCCTGTCCTGAAGGGGCTCTCTGGAGGGCCCTCGCCTCAGCCTCTCCTTGCAGTCACCCGAGGGAGACCAGGTCCCACCCCCAGGCTGACCAGGTCCCACCCCCAGGCTGACCAGGTTGGTGGGGGGCGCGGGAGGTGTTGAGTCCCTGGTGGCGGCAATCACTCTGCAGGAGCCACCTGTGTCCACTCCAGAGCCCCTCCCCCACGCCGCCCCATCCCAGCTGAGCCTATTCTAGGGGGTGAAGTCCACGCTCCGGGGCCCAGGTGGCCCCGCAAGGAGCCAACTTCTCAGGAAGGATTCTGGCTCCACCCCAGCCGCCGTATATTGCTTTAAGTCACACCATGCCTCAATTTCCCAGTATGTCAGCCGGGGTAGTGCTGGTCTCTGGCATGTGACTCAAGGTAACTCGCAAAGTGTGTGTTTAGTGTGTCAGCTGTCCACGTCCAGAAGACCAGCCTTAGCCTCCCTGCTGGAGGGAAGCCGTGGAACCTTGGGAGCCGGGCCCTGGGGCCCGGTATGGAGGGCAGAACACCCGTGAGAGACACGGGGCTCAGGGCCTGTCCTGCTGATTACTGGCGTGGACCAGACACTTCCTTGCTCGGCGCCTTGGGGTCCACGTCCATCAAGCGGGGTCACGAGTGCTCATCTCACCCACTGGCACGGGCCCGGTCAGCGCAGAGGCTCGCAACACTGGGCACCGTGTTTTTCAGACTCAGGCCCGGCCACACCTGCCGCAGCCCAGAGGTGCCCCTGCCCTGGCTGACCTTGTTCTCCTGGACGTCAGGGCTGGCGGATACCATCTTCACTAGCACATCCACGGGATCAGACAGGGGCCAGCGGGCCATGTCGGCGTCCTCCCTGGGTGTGCCCGGAGCGCGGTGGTAAACATCCACCAGGACCCCCAGGGAGCCCGTGACGGTGAAGGACGTGCATGTCCTTGGGGCGCACCTGGTGCAGACAAGAGTGGACTCAGCTGGTGGCATCGCAGCTTCTCAGCTCGAGTGCAGCTGGCGTGGCGGAGCCGGCCCCTCTTTTCCCCTGCGGGTGCTGAAACAAGGCTGCCAGTTTGGACATTTTGGGGTCCTAACAACTCTTCCCTCCCTCCTGTCATCCCTGGCTCTAGGGACCAGGTCTTTCCTCCAACGGTCCACCCAGACCCCACCTTCCCATCAGATCTAGAAGTCACCTGCGCCACATCTTGTTTCTCAACTCCCATCACCCAAGGCGGGAGAGGGGGTTTGAGCCACAGGGGGCCCCCAAGGGGACTTGGTGAAGCTTGACTTCTTGTGATGGGGCCACCTCCCCCGAAGCTCCAACTCACAGGACTCTCCACAACGAATCCTCTCCGCTACCTGGAGAACCAGCCTCACCTCCATTTGTCAGTTCAGGGGACACAGAGGTGAGGCCTTTGCTCTGCCGTGACCCTGCAGCCCGTGTGTGGCAGGTAAGTAGGTTTAGTCTGGGATTCTGCAGCGTCAGGGCCAAGAAGCCTGGACGCCCCAGCCAGGTGCCTTGAGATGAGGCAGACCCTGAGATGCAGAGGAAGGTAACCCCCATGCCCACATAATCCAGGGAGGGGCCAGGCCCCAGCCCCCAGTCAGCCCTGGCGCCCCCCCAGGTCCTCACCCATGGAGATCCAGGGAGAACTCCACATCCAGCATGCAGGTGGCGTGGGTGGGGCTGTCCAGGGACAGGTGGATGATGCGCTGGAGGGACATGGCGCGGCGCTCCCGCCTGAAGGCCTCACTCGGCACAGCACGGCAGCGCCGATGATCCCTCTTACAGGCTCAGGGCCTCTCCTGCCCGCCCCCTTGTTGAGGCAGCAGTTGCTGCCAGGTGTGACTGTCTCCCTCTAGGGTGGCTGGGAAGAGGGGTGGACGAGGCACCGGTGGCTCAGAGCCCCTTCTCATCAATTTACAAGGCAGCTGGTGTCTGCAGACCCGCGGCAGCTGGGCAAGCGGGTTCTGACCTTGAGCTAGCGGGTTCTGAAGATGGTGCCTGGACTGTCTGGCCTGGTGCTGGAAGACTGCCTGAGCTGGAAACTGTCAGGAGCAAATGCTTGCCACAAGGGTGTGTGGGGTGGTGGCCAGGATGGCCCTGCCCAGGCTCTGGGGGCTCCATCTGGGCCTGTGTCCCCCGGAAATTGACAAGGTGAGTCCTACAAAGCGTGGGACCATTGGTTCTCAAAGTTCTGCTCGTTGCAAAAATGACCAAATGGGACTTGTTAAAATCGCAAATTCCTGGGCCTGGAAAATTCTGGGTTGTGGTCCAGGACCCCAGTTCCTGGGGGTGAGAGGGAACTCCTTGTGTGTGCCCACAGCGCTCATGGGGCAGGGCAAGTGTGAGTGGAATGAATGAGTGGGGAGCCCCTGCAGAGACGAGGTCACCAGCTGCTCCCCATCACTGCTGCTGAGCTCACAGAGCAAACGAATAAGCATCGAGGGACCTCGCAGCTGACCTGCAAACAGCACTCACTGGCCATGGGAGGTGTGGGCCCACGGCTATTCTTGAATAGCTGCGCAGTCACGCGGCTCCGAGCATGAGATGAAAGTACCCCCCAACCTCCCATCCTCACCCATTTTCATTCTTTCCCCTCTTATAACCAAGGCAATGATGAATGAGACCTTATTTTTAGTGAAAATAGAAACTTACAGAGCATTGAACCAGCCTTCCCGCGGCTGGGAAATGGAGAAAGAATAAGCACCTGCGTGGTCCTGGGCCCCGGAGGGCAGAGAACAAGCTGTCTGTGCTGCTTGAGCTGCAGAGGAATCAGGAATCGAGACAAGTGGGAGCCTAGGCTGCCCTTGAATCAACAGCAGGGGGCCTCGCCACCAGCAAGCCAGGGGAGCCCCTATCAAAGGAAGTGCAAGTGACTCCCATTCCCGAGGCAGGCGTGGGGGAGTCAGCGAAGCTAGAGAGAGCCAGCTCGGGCTGCCCTAACCATCCTTGGTGGCCTGTGTTTCTCCCATTTTTCCAAGTGACAATGACCGAGGAAATGAGTGTGTGTCCTTCCCAACTCCTTTCCACACAGGTGTACGTGCCACACATATCCCAGATCTTGTTTTTCACTTCGTGTCAGTATTGTAGAGCAAATAAAGGCTGCTCAGGCTTTTGCACCACTGGCTCTGTGGCTATCATCTGCGGCCTTGAATGCAGGAGCAGCCTGGAGCGAGGGCTCAGGGCACACGTGCCCCATGCTGGACACCTGGAGTGTGGTGAGCTGGCGCGGGTGGGCGCACCTGAGCCAAGAGGTCAGCTACCAGGACGGTGCAGCAGAGGGCGGTGACGTGGCGCAGGACAGCGGGACGGATGTGACTTTCATCAAGCTGTCACTGGCCTATGACGGGGTGGGTCTGAGATGCACATGCTCAGGGCAGCTCGATCTGCTGCATTTGTGTGTTGCCATCTGAGGCCACGGCTAGCTGACACCTCTCACAAAAGGATCATCTTTGATAAAACACACTTAACTTTATAAAACCGAATTTGGCAGTGCCAAGCCCTTCTGGGGTTTTCTGGAGGCAGGAACTCTGCGCCGTGGGAGGGATGCTCTGCTTCTTTCCTCCACCTGGGGTATCTGCCCGGCTCCTTCCTGACCGCAGTGGACTAAACAGAGGCCCCCCCAGCCCCCCCAAAAAATCAGGTCTTCACTCCCAGAAGCTGTGTTATCTGAGTGTCTCTGCAGATGGTGGTGCTGGCTGGCTGGGGTTGCTGGGACTCCTTTTGGCTCGGAGTTCTAGAATAAAGTCGCTGGAGTCTCCACCCGGGCTCGTGGGATCTGCTGCCTTTCTGTGTTACCACAGCAAACCGTCACATCTGTCGCTGTCAGAGGGTCAGAAGTACACGTGACTACAGATTTGGGCAGGGAGAGCTTCTACATGGGAAGAATTCACCAGGCAAGGATTCATCCCATGCTCTGCCCGCTGTAAACAGCTTCAGGTGAACCGGGAAACGCCACAGCGTCAACCAGCGTTTCTATAGAGAAGTGGCTGAGGAGCCGCGGGGGACGTAGCCATGGGCTTTCTTCAGGAAGAACTACGCAAGGCTGTCTGTCAGCTGCTATTTCCGTGGCGCACCTGAAGCCCTGCCCCTGGAGATGGCCCCTCTTCTCGGGCTGCACATAGTTAAGCCTCTAAATTGAAAGAGCAAAGATTCCCTGCAGGTTTGTGATGACCCTGGGTCACCTACAAGGTCCTCAGGGTACCCTAACCTTAAGCGTCCTTAGAAGAGGGAGACATGGGGAGCTGACCGGCCCAGAGGCAGAGAGAGCCGCAGTCAGCAGCCAGGAGCTGTGAGGGGCTGGACCGGGTTCGTCCCTGAAGCCACAGGAGGGATCCCCCTTACCAACACCTGCCTTCAGCCCCATGAAACTGATTTTGGACTGAAATGGAGTACATTTGTATGGCGCTAAGTCACAGCGCTAAGAGCGTTGCAAATTGTGACAGGCTGCAGGCGCTAGGCTGTGATGGTCGGGGAAGGGGGGCAGTCAGAAGTTAGGAGGGTCACAGGGTATTGGGGTGGGGCTCTGCTGCCTGGGGGGGTCCATGCTCTTGGGCAGGCGCTGGGTCTCCCAGGCCTCCAAGTGCCTTCGCTGACTCCCCCACGCCTGCTCATGAATGGCTGGAGGGGGAGTCACTTGCACTTCCTTTGAATAGGGCTCACCTGGTTTGCTCGGTGGGGAGGCCCACCTGCTCTTGATTCCAGGGCAGCTGAAGCACCCACTTATCTCCCGATTCCTCTGCAGGCCCAGGGATTTCAGAAAGACCTTTGGGTTTTGTCTGCTGAGGCCATTTCTGCTCCAGGCAACCTCTGCTCAAGTTTTGGAAGCAGTTCCCATCAGCTCCGGGGGGTGCATGGCCCCCTTCCTGGCCACGAGATTTTCTCTTGCATCTTTTGCCCCAGCAAATTCTGGGGGGGTGGGAGGGACAGCGGATGCTATTCAGAGAAACCGTTTTGACCGGGAAGGGTTTCTGGGCGCTTCCCTTCAATGCAAGGTGCAGACTTCAGAGTCCTGCTTCTCTACCATCATTTGCTCCCCACACCCATGCTTCCCATGAAATCAATACTTAAGTATTCCCCCAGCATCTCAGGCTCCATGGAGCCAAAATCTGGTTTCAGTTTTCAGATGTGGAGTCCTCAGGGTGTATTTTCTCAGAGGTGCCTACGCCCGATGTCAGGGCCCTAAGAGGAAGTACAGCTGACCCTTGCTGTGCAGTTACCCCAGGACGGGTCTCAATACACAGGCGGACCCCAGGTCCACGGGCTCAGCCCTGCGGTTGGTCTCCTCTGTGGGTGCTGAGCCCTCAGTACAGAGGGCTCAATGAGGTGGACTTAAATTCTGGGGATATGATCTGAAACCAATTCCCCACTGATAACAAGGGCCCTCTGTACTGAGGGCTCAGCACCCACAGAGGAGACCAACCGCAGGGCTGAGCCCGTGGACCTGGGGTCCGCCTGTGTATTGAGACCCGTCCTGGGGTAACTGCACATCTTAGCTAAGTTTTGGGGGGAGTCAAAAGTTATACTTGGATTTTCAACTATGCAGGGGTTGGTGCCCCGAACCCCAACATTGTTCAACGATCAAATATACACAAAGGACAAAGGGGACTACTTGCTCCTGTGAACCCTGAGCTCCTACCGCACCCCATGCCCAGCTCTCAGGAACGGGTGGCCCAGCAGCCCACAGGGGCAAGAGTCCGCCCGGGGGGGCTTTCAAGCTGACGGAATTCACTGGCACCCGGGGGTGGGAGACCGAACAGTCACACGGTAGGTTCCCTTGGGTTCCTGTCTCACTGCTAGGCGCCCTTTTCCCGAAGGAACCCCCAAACGGGGGTGCAACTCCTCCACTCGCCACTTCTTGCGGGTGGGACTGGCTGCCGCGCTCGTGTCCCTGTCATCAGCCTCCTTTTAGAAATTTTGTTTTTTATCGTGAAATACACACACGGGAGTGTAGTTCCCATAGATGAATGTTAAAGCAGATAAATGAACGTCTGCAGAGACCCAGCTGCTGTCTGGAACTGATTTCTGTGCAGTAAGAAACTGATTTCTGTGGAGCTTTGAGGAGGGAGGGGATACACCCTCAGGGAGCTCAGCCCTCATCCTCCTCAAAGGCTTAGAGTCGACTAGGCTCAGATCATAGAGGACTTTTTAGACCAAATACACACCTTGGAGCAAGAGATGCACGCAGGAACACTGGCCTTCCCCAGACCCTGGCAGGACCTTCCAGTCTGTAATTTCAATTTAACCATGACAATGAGTGAGTGAGTGAGTGAGTTTGACCTCACGTGCAAAATGATTTATGGCAGGCAGTTTCTTACTGCCGAACTTGAGTTTGCAATGCCAGGACCATCTTGGGACTTTCAAGCGGGGAGGAGCCCAGGGCCCAGGGCCCAGTGCCCCGGAGAAGGAAGCAGGTCACTACCTGGCACAGGGTTACCCCCACGGAGCCAGAATGTCCCCAAGAGCTCTGCTGTGCCACGCTGCAGGGGACCAGAGCTTCCCGGGGAGAGGCTGGAGGCGGGCTCCTCAGGGCACCATGTTCCACCACTTGAAGGTGAAGGGCTTCCGGCGCACGTTGGTGCCACAGTGGATGTCCCCGTGCAGCAGGTGGTATGGGGTGAAGTCGTCGATGAAGGTGCAGTGCAGGCCCAGCGGCTCCAGCAGGGACCGCACCTTCTCCTCCAGGCAGCAGCGGCCGTTGATGATGGGCCCGAAGGGCTTGGGGATGCCCAGGTGCTTGCCCAGCACCAGCATGTTCACCTGCGAAGAGAGGGAGCCCAGGTCGGGGGCGGCCCCTCCTCGTCATCCTACCCAGCACCTCCACGGTACCTAGCAGGACCTGGGCTTGTCGTTTCGGCAGCCTGGAGAAGAGCTACCTGTCCCTTTACCAGTGGGTGTCAGAGGCTGCTAAGAACTAGCGCAAGGTGCGCCTACCCGTGGGAGCATCGCCCGCGCACCTGTGTCTTGGGACCTTCTTACTGGTGGATTGTGATGGCTGCTAGGCTTGGTGCTATAAAAGCCCAACCCCTTTGGCTGCAGCTGATTGGCCCAGGGTAGCCATCTGACCCAACCTGGACCAATCAGATTCTCTCTCGTGAGTATTTGAAATTGACATGATGGGTGGGCGAGCCAATCAAGCTCCGCGGCGTCTACCTGGCTCGGGTTGCTTGGTACCAGGGACAGGAGAGCAGAAGAAGCCAAGTTGAAGACAAGGGGAGGGAGGGCCTCGAGGGGAGGGGAGAGTGCTGTCCATACAGCGATAGGAGATGCTTCCAGCTCCTCTGCAGCCCCACTTCAGCCACCCGTCCCCTCAGTTTTCATGGGATCCTTATTAAAGCTCCTGCTTGCGTGGTCCTCTGTTTCCTGCAAACCTATGGCCCTGGCCCAGTTCACAGCTGGGGACACATACATAACTGCAAGCCCTCTTTAAAGATACAGGAAGGAAAGGGAGTGATGAGAGGCTTTGCAAGAGAGGAAATAGGGGAGGCAACAAATTAGAAAGGAGAAGGAAAAGGTGGGGTGGGTGGAGTGAAGCAATGGCGGTGTGGACAGACTCCCCGCAAGGCTCTGACGATGGGTGAGTTGCAGGACAGAGGTGAGGAAAGGATGGAGGACCTGGTGTTTCAGATGCAAGCTCATTTTAGCACCAGTGGCAAAGTCCTCCAGGGCTTAGCCAAAGGCCTCTTCTTCCCTGAGTCTCTAGTCCTACCTCTTAGGCTGCAGGTGCTTTGTCCCAGCTCTGAACAACCTCGTCACTTTATTACACAGAGTAGGTGGGACATAGCCTGGAGAGGCAGAGACACTTTCTCCCTCACCAACTTTGACTGGAAGCTCCTGGGGAGTGGGGAGCAGCTTTAATCATCTCTGTGTCTCCCATGGGTACTCTAAGTTCTGTGTCCTTTACACACAACCTCATGCAATCATCTGCTCACTCCCAATATCAAGAGGGTCTCTAGGAGGAGGGAAAGGCCCCTTCCTGAGGACCCCCAAGCAAGACAAGGTTAAGAAGACTTCCAGCAATCAGGCACCTGCCCCTCCTGCCTCCCCCA